TTTTCCAACCTAAATGATTCTGTGACTTTTCACAGATATCACCCTTGGGGGTACCACAGGGTATTTCATCCTCTGTACCTCAGTCATGTTGACTTCTTGAAGTGAAGGGGTGCGAGAGGGCAGCCATCACCAGGCACTGCCAAAGAGGTGATGCAGGGAGCCATGCTGGCAGTCTGCTTTTTCTGCAGGCAGCTCCCCAGGACAGGCAGCACAATGGGACCATCCACACCCACACAGGGCAGGGCAGGCAGGCCCTTGGCCCAGCAGCTCGGCATAAGACCAGACTGCATGGGAGTACCCAAAGTGTGACTCACGACAGTGAAGTGACTTTGCTTTGCCAGGTGTCATGGTTTCAGCTGGGATGCCAGGGCTGCTCACCATGTCGATGCTGTCACTTATCTGATATGCAGGTCCTAATTTGCAAAGTGTCCCATCCCCTAGGAGAGCATGATACAGCTTTGACTCGAGTGAGCCATGCAGTGCTGTATAGACAAATATAATGTGTGTACCTGGGTATGGTGGTGTATGGGTTACCAGGGGTGTATCGCCAGGACTTCTGTCCTCCTTACACAGATGGAGTAACATGGGGAAGGAAACGACGTGTTTTGCCAATCGCTTACACACTTTGCATCCCGCAGTGCAGTGAATGGTACAAGAGGAGGTTTGTGCTGACTTCTGGAAGCAAAGAGCCCTCCACAGGGGAGCAGCTCAGGCATCACACCTACCTTCTGGAAAATAAACCACAGTTTGTTTAAAATTCATTAATGTTTCTTGCACGTGTTTGCCTTTTACCCACTTTTATTTAATGCTGCTTTTTCGGGGGGAGTGTCCTGCTGTTGGCTTGCTTTCAGCTGTAACTGGAGACGAATAGGTGGTAAAGATTCTCCGGTTGCTATTTAAAAACCACTGTTAGGAGCTTGTGTTGGAAGGGGCCCTCGCAAGACGGAGTTTCATCCCCCTCCTTCCCGGTGGAAGCCCCTGCCTCGCGGGGTGCGGTGCTATCCACCCCCCCCCAGACAGCGAGCCCGGCCCGGCCCACGGACGCCCTCTCGCAGCGGTGAGGACGACAGCCCCCTGCCGCGTGGCTGCCAGCGCGGCCAATCACCGCTGTGGGCTCCCGCACCAACGCAGGCGCGTGGGTTCAGGGGCTGACGTGCAGGGCTATCCCACGAAGGGTGGGTGGGCCGGATCAGGCCAAGTCAAGTCAAGAGCTTTTTCCGTAAGTCTCAAGGCAAGACACTGGGGGCGACAGGAGGAAAAGCCCCCTCCCCACTTTCGAATCAGCTCTCGCGCGGCGGGGGGTGGGGCTGGGCTTATGGACACCGTGCAGGGCCTGTTGGATGGGTTGGCTAGCCAATGGGAGGTGGAAGGTGGGAGCGGAGCTGCTGCCCTCTCTCGTTCATTCACTGGCTCCTTCCTTTTGTGATTATCTCTCTGTGCCGCGCTGACTCCCCCGGCAGCTTTTGCCCGTCCCTGTGCCTTTAGGGGAAGAGGAGGAGGTGTCGGCATCCCGCTCGCCGCCTCATGCTGCGGCCCTATCCCACCTCCAATCCGGGGACCTGTATGGACGGGCATGGGGAGAGCAGCTCCTTCCTGCGCCGTCGAGGCTGAGTGGCCGCGCCGGCTGCCGTCCGCCGCCCTCGGTGTCATCGCCGCACTGGGGCTGCTGATGGGCACAGGTATGGGGGGGGGACCAGGGCGGGAGGAGCCGATGCGCGGAGCCGGGTTCCGACAAGGGGATGCACCCGCCTGCGCAAATGTTCCTCAGACTTTAACAAGGCGGGATCGAGGAGGGAGTGGGCACGCGTATCGGCCTGTTTGCGGCTCGGGCCGATGCGGAGTTTGTGAGTGGTGTCCTCTAGAAAACATCCGTCAGCGTTTGCCCCGTCTTTATGACTTTTTAGAGGCCGTGCGAGAAGCGCGCTGTACAGGGGCATACGTGTGTGAAAACACTGATATAGCACTGGAAATAGTGACTGCGGAATAGGGCAGCATGCAGCTGTACAGCAGCAAGCCAGAGGACTTAGAGAAAACATGCTTTTTTTCTGGGTTTTGGTTGTGGGTTTTTTTTGTTTGTTTGTTTTTGATAGAACAGCTATTTGCCTGACAATGGAAACTGAGGAAGATACTCTGATAGTGCTCGCCTAAAGTATTTTTTACTCGGAAGTCTGTGAAAGTGTTTCTCTTTAGCTTGAGTGCTTTTAAACATTTATAACTTTAATGGAATAAATTGTATGTTTAAGTGCAGGTTTAGGTCATCTGGATTTAGTCAGATTGCTGTTTCACCTCCCCCTTCCCTCTATACCAAGAGCCTAATGAAAGCAGCAGAATGAATTTTCCTAAAGTTGCAAGGGGGCTTGGATGGGTAGATTTGTTGTGCTATTTGATAACTTGCCTTGCACACCTAGAATAACTTATATGTGATTTGTGATATTTTAATCATAATTTTTTAAAAATTGATGCTTTGAAAGTCAGGCTCTGAACTGGCATAGTCTAAGTCAGTTTGCTTGGCATAGGTCTTTTCACTGAGTGATCATGTACCTTAAAACACAGATATTTTTTTTATTTAGTCTTTTTTCTTAGCAAAGCTGCATATCACTTGCATAAAGGTGTACTGAGAAACTTACTGCTTACTCATATGCTTCATGGTCATGCTTGGCTGTAGGTTAAAGACTGTTCTACTCTGTGTCGGGATTTGACAGGATATTTACTTTAGCTACCTATCATAGGCAAAAAAACTGTTGCCCTTCTAAATTCACAGATTGGATGTTCTGGGTATGTCATATGAGTCCTGACTCACAGGAGGCCTGGCTAGGGGATAAGCAGAGAAATTGCTAATATCCTTTCATCGCTGTGAATTGCAGAAAACAACTGCATTTAAAAATTAAAGGTCCAACATTATTATTCAGTCCTCTTTCACTCCCAATTTCTTAGAAAATTAGGAATATTTTAATTGGACTGTTAAAATCAAACTGAACTCAGCCCTATTTTACTTTGAGGACATGCCAAAAAAAAAAAAAAGGGTGGGAAATGATGTAAAGAGAGGGATTTGAGGGGAGGGGAAGGAGTAGCTGTAAAATCTCTTCTCTTTGTTCACACTTCCATATGCTTCTCTAAGTATTTTTGTGTTATGAATCTGTTTTAATTTCAAATGGTTGTAATATATACACAGTGAGTTTTATTGGTCGTAAAAGGAACAAAATAATGCAAGATGTTTTCAGTTGATAGCTGTCCAAGCACCAAAAAACTATTACATGAAGTCTTGCAAGTATTCTTTTTGAAGTTCCATTTGCTGTTATGGCTGTCTTCTGCTCTTTGGATGGGAGAGAACCTGATTTATCATTTGAGTGTTGTCCTAGTTTTAATCCCTGTGGAATATGTGCATCTATGTTTCCTTTAATACATTGTGCAGCCTTGTTTGTTTTGTTTCTACCCCTCATGAGTTGCTTTGTGTAAAAGTTAAACTCTGAAGACTGGAAGAAGACTGAAGACTCTGTAAAAGTTAAACTCTGAAGAATCTGGAAGGACTTCAGGTTGTGGAAGAGAGGGCTGTAAAAATCCCAGTTTGCTTGCTGGGATGGTAATTATGTTTTCTTTGCAAAAATCAGGTGACCAGATAAGGTGCAACTATTTGGTATGGGTGGGTTTGGGGTTTTTTTTGTCTTGTGGGTTTTGGTTTTTTTTATGTAACCTAAACTGTGAACCTGTTCACACACATCTGATAAGTACTTCAGGTTTTGGTGGGGAAAGGTGCTTTTTTTTGCCCCATGTCTCATTATTGTATTATGCTGCAAGAGGTGCTATTGCAGTGTTTGAATTATCTAGCTGGCAACTTGAGCTTCAAACAGCTGTGGGTTTTCTCACTGTTTAATTCCAGAAAGCAAGCAGTGAAGCTTTAGCTATGGCAGTGCCAAGGAAGTAAAGCAAATAGAGTTTATGGCCTGGCCTGGCCTGGCCTTGTCTGTCCACCTGCTCTTCCCCCCCTCCTTTTCTTTTTTTTTTTTTCCTGCACTCTTGAAGAAGAGAAACTGATCTCTGCTTCATTCAATTTGTTTGAGTCTAAACCTGTATCACTTAACTTCTTAACCACATCCTTCTCGGGAACAGGGTTCTGTTTAAAAGTTCAGTAACTTGTCATGTAAAGCACTGAAAGACTAAATGAAGACTTGCTTATTGACTAAGGGATTTAACTTAACAAGATGGTGATGCAATTCTACGCTTATCATTTGCCAACTGAGTCCAGCATTTCTTTTCCAGGAGTTAATGCTCCTAATCTATTACTTGCTATTGTCTAGATGAAATTCATGTCATGCTTGGGTTATCTCAACCTTTGAGAAATGGGCTATATTGCTATCTTCCACCTGTCCGCCTCTTCCCCCCCCCCCCCAACCCCTTTTTCTCTCTTGCAGAATGTTCTCCTCAATGGGTGAGCACTGTAGATTCTTTAAGATGTTTTCTGTAGCCCTTGTGAATGTGGAAGGGAATATTGCCATCTAAGAGGTTTGCTTGATTTCTCTATGCCTTCTGTTTTGTGCTTAGCTGACTGCCAGCTTCAAACACCTTGTCAAATCCAGAAGTGCACCACAGACTTCGTGTCCTTAACTTCACATCTAAACTCTGCTCTTGATGGCTTTGATTTGGAGTTTTGCAAGGCCCTGCGGGCATATGCTGCTTGTACCTATCGCAATTCCAAAGTATGCCGTGGAAATCTAGTCTACCATTCTGCAGCACTTGGAATCAGCGACCTCATGAGCCAGAGGAACTGTTCCAAGGATGGACCCACATCCTCTACCAAACCTGAAGTAACCCATGATCCCTGCAATTACAGTGGCCACGCAGGAGCTGGAGAACATCGGGGAGAGGAACAGACTTCTACTTATTTGTTTTGTGGCTTGTTTGGTGATCCTCATCTGAGAACTTTTAAGGATCACTTCCAGACATGCAAAGTGGAAGGTGCCTGGCCTCTCATAGACAATAACTACTTATCAGTGCAAGTGACGAATGTGCCTGTGGTCCCAGGATCCAGTGCTACTGCTACAAATAAGGTATGGGTTGTTCTTAAACAATGTGTATGCATACAGAAGTAGAAGGTCATGACAGAGTAGTAAACTACTTAACCCTTAACAGTTAAGGGTTGTAGTAGGTTGAGAATCTTCCATGCAGTAGTCTGAGGAAAATAAAACTGCTGGGCTCATCTTTTGGAAAAACGCTTCTTTCCTTAGAAACAAACAAAACTCAAAACAGC